GGTAAAGTAATTGTTAGATAGATGGTGAATTATTATTTGTAGCCTCCGCGCTGTATGATGTGCCCACTGCGCGCAGTATCAATGAGTTTGCGAATTGATGAGCATCAAACAAGTGACAGATGGAGAAAGAATCTCAGCAAGGCAAACGTGGATCTTGCGAAGCGAAACCGCACCCTGAAGGAGCGGCTGGAAGTCGTGAACAAGCTGTTCGCCCTGATGGAAAAGGAAGAAAAGGAGGTAAGAGAAGAAAAATTATTACAAGGTGTTTTAGTTGGTGACCTTCTTGTATTTCAGCACTCAAAAAAATGCTTCATAAAAATTTATGGCGGCGTAAGCTTGTCGTAGTCCAACCTAACTTCGAGTCTAGTTGGGAGAAAGTAAAGAGAATGAACACTTCAAGCGGAACTGATAAACCAGATACTCAACAATTGTTTTGCAAGCTCAAGTTGTGCTGATCTATGATGCATAAATTAATGTCGTAAAGTGATCAAATAAGTGTTTTGCAAGGTGAAGTTGTGTCGATCTGTGTTGCAGAAACAAACTTAAAGGGCAAAGGTTTTGGAGTCCATCGATCCCGTCTGCGCCCCCCACACTCGATTTCCATTCAGAATCGTACTGGCGTAACAAGTTCTTCATATTTCCGACACCGCGGCTGCAGACAATCAAACTCCGACGTCGGTTGATCTCGAGAAAATCCTCAGGACTCTCGGTGACGACTTTGAGGACCACCTCTCACATGGTTCTGCCACGAGAACTGAATCGCCACCATGCTGGCTGATATTCAAAGTCGTCCTATCAAGAAACTTCGACTGAAGCGTAGTTCGAGTCACACTTCACACCGCTCCAGAAGAGGAAAGCAGGCCTTGTGAAACCAAAAATCACTCTGCAGCCTCTTTTGGTATCGCAAGATGACAAGGGCGTACTGTCTAACGAAAACGCTCGCAATATTTTCTACGCCATCGTGGATTCCATTCGAACGATCTCATAAAAGCAGGATCGCTTGAAGACCGACTTCGACGAATTGATGAGAGGACCACTGCCACGGAACGCTTGCTGCAACAAGGTTCTCTGAAAGTGATGGCACGTTCAGTCGATGCTCAGTGTCCGGCCGTAGCACCCACACGCCATTGTGAACTATGCTACGTGACCGGACATCAGGCGTTTGAATGCCGAAGCAAGCTCCACAAAGAAGCTAGCCAGGCAACTGTAACACCATGTAACCCATTTCCTAGAACTACAATATGTTATTGATATGGAATGAACACTTAATATTGTAAGTGCAATTTAGCACAATAAACCTTCTCAGCTCTTCTTGTTGACTACATCTATGTAGTTACCGCTACTTTTCTCCCCGCACTAGCGTTGTGGATTCACAACCAAATCCATGTTTATATTAGAAATAGCATTTACAAAGATGAGTGCTAACATGCTAGTTCAACTTATCAACCTTAGGCATCACTTGATATGAGCATCTCTTGAGATGAGACTACAAGCATGACTTGGCGGTATCATAAGTGTGCAATCAAGTAAGTAACTTAGGTTCTGCCGTTGACGCGGTCCGCTCTTTCATCCTCCGGGCTTGAGTACCGCCACGGGCCCCTTATGGTCCAGTGGCGATATCGCATCGGTATCTGAGGACCGCCCACATATTGTGTATATAAACTCCGTGAATGTATTATTATGGTCGATCTTTGTACTAAACGTCGTAATGAACCTTTGTTGCACGTCCCTAATACAATCTTCCCTTGGTAATCCACCAAAACGACCTCGACAACCTTAACATGGAACTGGTAACAGTCGACTCCGTCCAAGGAATAGAGAAGGAGGCAGTTATTTTATTTACTACTAAGACTGACTTTTCTCCAGCGACAGCCGAACTTCTCAAGGACTACCGTCGCCTCAATGTAACTGTGTCCCGCTGCAGACATGGCCAAACCATATTTGGCTATGTCGACACATTACGGAGGGTCCCTTTATGGAACACCATCTTACAATGAGCGGATTCCATCGGTGCTCTTTTCTGGGTAGCGATCTATCCCAATACCTTCAGCGCCCCCAATAAAGTCCGCTTAGAAACTTTCTTCTTGCTGTGCATTCTTAAAGTCCGTGACGGACTTTGGGTACAGGGGGAGGTGTGATCCGCGCCGTGCAAACGCGGCGATCAGCTGATTATGTTTTGGGATGAATCTTCAAGACATTCAGGGCGGAGCGGAGAGCTGGGAGATCTTCAACGAGGAGTCTACCGAGGATCGTCTTCATGGACAATAGCCACGGTCCTATCTATCTCTAGAGGGCAAAATCCTGCTCCCTACGAGCATCTTCTTTCGATCTCAGTCTCTGTACGCCGATACTTTGTTATACTGCTTATGTCGTGTGCCCCTTAGTTTCCTTGTAAGGTATTGTCTCGGATTGCTGAACACTTGCCTATCTTTTGGCCGTTTTTCAGATGAATAGGTTATAACCTATCGGTTCTCAACAGAAGCAGAGAATAAGCACACTCCTCTGTGCGCGCGAGCCTGTTATTGAGATCGAAAAACGTACCTTTGTTCCTAAATACAGCTTGTCTAAGCATGAACACTTTTAAGCTACAGTTAACATACAAGAATACAGAAAGCATAGCGAATACGTGGAAATCATTAAATAGATAGAAACATGAGGAAAACGTGTCCTGACATGATCTTGGCCCATTATCGCATTTTTGGCAATGGGCCAAGACATGTCAGGCCACGTTTTCGCCCTATGTAAAAAGGGAAATAGCGGTTTACCCCAGAAAGACAGGGTCTTATCCAAAACTATAGGGGAATGTCCGGCTCGACACGCTCCGGATATTCCCGTGTTTAGATCCTCACTTTACGAGGTCAACCGCTATTTTAGGGGGTACATAAGCAAAGTATCTTTTTGAGGTATCAGAGAACAACTATAGTATTGGGAACTTAGGCCTGTAAGTAGCCTAGAGAGCCAGGGGTTTTTAAGCCGCCATGAACCTAGATATGAACAGGCTTACCGCTCTCAACGGCCTTCAACTATAGCTTCGAATGGGTTCTCTCACCTATGGTCTTTCGTTTGCTAACATATCCATCCCACAACAATGACACTGTATATAGGCAGTCGTGCAGGACACCTACAGTAGCGCTCACAAGTCTTCGGTGAAATGCTTTGACGCTTTTTCGTTCATAACTTTCTTCTTAGTAAACCAAATCGCGCAAAATTTGGATATGTTCAACTAGAGCATATTTCACCCTACGCAACACTATTTGACTGCGAAGCTGCAATATCCACAGGTAGAGCAAGGTGTTTGTTGCAGTAGCAGATTTTGATGAAACTGAAGTTGTTGACGTCTGCACTTACTCGCACCTTATGTGCGTTTTTCTCATCCACTGTGTTCGGCATTACCACTCCTACACTTTGGACATGACAAAAAGGAAAGAGATTCTAGAAGGACCATCATCTGTATTTTCAGTCGATTTTGAGTTCATGCTCTTTGCATATCTGGAACATGACCAGATTGCGAGTTAATAGTGGTAAATATTCACGAAACATCCACNTTTCGCATGATTGGATCCAGTAGGAAAGGAGTTACGACTGAAAAGTACGGCTGGAGAACCATTTCACCAAAGACTTTTGAGCGCTACTGTATATGATCGTCAGTGAAAATGATGACAATCCAAGGAGGTTGACCGTTGGCAGCCTCTACTCGGCTCACTTCAATGACATTAACTTTAAGGAGCTGAAAGGACGTGAGAAGACTTTAAGAGAAGGGGAAATTAGGCATTTACTGTAGCTTACAACTAAGGCATCCGTCATCTATCATCATCATCAACATCACCCTTCATTTGCAACTTCTTCAGCAAGCAAGTACCATGAGGTTGAACTCTGACCAACAATAAGTGACTGTTCGAAAACAAGCAGTTTTGGACTTTTTTATCATCAGAAATAAAAAAGACGTGCATTTACAGAGACGATATCACAATCTAATACACTAAGCGTGTCGCGTCTACGTAGCCGGACCCAGCGAACTACCCAGACGGCGGACAAAGAACTCTGTGAATCTGAATCATACCGTAATACAACTCGTTTCTAGTACCACAATCTAATGTAAATCATGTAAAAAGCTATAATTAATGAAAAATTGTTCAATATATATTGTAAGAACACCTCGCCTTTCCAGAATGTGTTAATGGTGTAGGATAGAGATATGACCTGTAGCATCAACTAGAGCATCATGAGTAGAAGAGCGCCGAGAGCTTATAAGCGGCGGCATTGACACGCTAACGACAATAAATAGCTGCGATTGAGATTTGTAAAGATTAATATTAATACTATCCGTAATTGAATAGCTGCAAAAGATCATTGTGATGACATCATGTCAGTGAAATTGGTGAAATCCATTTATCGATGACTTTTGTGAGTCATTCGAGCTGTTACAATGCCTCCTGGTCCAGCCAATGTCGTCTTACCCATGAGATATTCATCGACCTAAAATTATATAATTACAAACTATTGTACTGTCCTATGGAAATTCGGCGCTGGAGAGTTTGAAAGGATGGAACCATTGGCATTGAACGACAGCGGTATTGAATGCGCCCCGCATTTGACTTCAATTCTGGATTGCAGTGGCGTCTTGTATGCTTTTTTTGGCACATACAATGAGTTGAGGTGGCCAAACGGTGTAGAAGTCGACACTCTAACCCTTATGGACAAGTCTAGTACCAATTACTGATCCTTCAGGGTTGAAGGCTTTGGTTGAACCCATCAGTATCAGAGCGGGATTTAAACCATGGATCATGCATGTGTGATGGTGTGCTACTTGCCACTACATTACATCTGCCTCTGAAGAGCCTATTTACACAAAAACTTTCCACAGCCCTAAGCCACTGTAAGAACGCAGCTATCCCACGGATGGGCAGGTTCAATTTTTTGGATGGGGAACTCAGACTTAGCGGGATTGCGGAATTTACCACGAAGGAGCAAGTTCAAAATCAATAATGAACATTACAGGTTTAGTTTCGTACCTGACGAGCAGCTTGTCTACCTTCATGAATTGCCCATACCACTAGGGACTGACCACGACGACAATCGCCCGCAGCGAACACCTGATAGTGATGGAAATAGGTGCGGTATTAACGGTATTGACAAAAAATACTGTACATACAAAGTAGTGTACTGGTCATGATCTTTCATTTTTTTGTAGTAATTACTAAGTACTCACAACAAAAAGTGGAAAATACTTCTCACATATCTATGGCAAGAAACAGAGATTTGTGCAAGATTTTTCGGGTGTTATTGAACTTCACAAACCCCGCCCCTCCAACTCTGTCACATGACAAATTGAAAAGGAAAAATTACCTTAGCCACATCAGAGTTATACTTGTCCTTTGGTGTTAGAATGTTAGATCTCGCGTCCGATTTGAGACCAAGTTGTTCGATAACCACCTAAATACAAGTTTAAACTTCAAAGTCCCTGAAGAGATAACCCTGACTATCCCACCTTTTCAGGGCCAACGAATCCCATAGCAAGTATGCATAGATCGCATTCCACTGTCTGCGTCGTATCGGGCTTCTCGATTAGTTTCCAAGCTCCCTTAACAAACCACATTTGCACACCAATCTCAAGAAATTTGAATCGAAAAAATTAAACAAATAAATACGTCCTATAATTCACCGAATGTAAAAATAATTCATCAATAGTATTACTTACCTTCTCGTCTTTCTCCCATTCCACTTCAACAATCTCAAGACCTGTAACCACTTTTATACCGGCAGCGTTTTCAGTAGTTAAGAAGGCCTGAAAGCGGTTTTACTTTTTTGTTACAGTATATGTATAAGATGTATTACTCTGTGTTGGTTCGAAAATAAATATAAAAACTAACCTTGGTGGAAATCGAATAGGTTCGTGGATCTTTTCCGGTTTTCATTTGCATTTCTTCATGTCCATAATCAATTCTGAATATCACTGGCCATTCGGGCCATGGATTCTCCGGCTTGCGACTATCGGCTGGCTTTGGCAGGATCTCGAATGCCCGTACAGATTTGGCACCCTGTTTGGGAAAATAGTTAGAAGGCTTGGCCGAGAAATATTAGCAGATCTTAAAGCAAAAGAGCAATTTCTACGGGAACTCTCAGAAAAGTTATTCGACTGTACAATATAATAAACCTACTTTGGAACTTAATAAGCAAAAGTTTCCATTACCTTTTCTAGTCGATCGAGAAATGCCTTTTATGTGGCTAATAAGGAATGCATTCGTGGCAAAACGAAAAAAAAAGACTCACCAAACGGTTACTGGTAGCTATGCAGTCAGTGGCGGTGTCACCTCCTCCGAGAATAATCACCCGCTTTCCAGCTGCATCTAAACCTTCCCAGGACACGTTGTCACCAGCACGACGGCGTTGGTTCTTCTCCAGGAACTCCATGGCAAAACAGATCCCTTTTGCATCGCGTCCACTTACCTATAAGATGGCGAGTATGGCACAAGTAAAGGCTTGTAGTAAACAACGTGAGCACAGCCTGGCGCAGCGCGAATTTGCCGCCCGCGGTCGCTTATTTTGCCGCGCGAGCGCTTTCTGTCGCTCATTTGGCCGCGCAACCATTTCGGACGGAAATTTCGCGGACCTTCTACTACACATTCATGAAATCATACCCGAAGATCGCGTGGAGTGGTAGAACCGGTGCAGACGATGATAGCATCATTATCCTAGGTAATCAGCACTAATTTTTCATCATAAAAAGTAATCAGCTGACAGTCCAGTACCTTTAGCAAGAAGTCGGCTGGGACATCCTTTCCAATTTCCGTATTCGTAATGAAGCGAACTCCTTCATCTTCAAGCAACTTCACCCGTCGATCAACAATGTATTTATCCAATTTCATCGATGGTATACCGTATCTGCAAAATGCCCCATCTCGAGAATTTCTTTTATTTTCAAAAGTCCACGTACCTCAGAAGACCACCGACTCGGTTCTTTCTCTCGTACACAACTACGGTATGACCGACTTTGACCAGTTGGGCAGCTGCGGCCATTCCTTGAAATTCAAAAGTGTACGGAGAGAAGCGTAAGGAAAAGTTGATAATTCGAGCAGGAATGATTACCAGCAGGCCCTGATCCTACGATAGCAATTCGTTTTCCAGTATTTTCTACTGGTGGACGAGCATGAATCCATCCTTGCATGAACGCGTAATCAATGATAGCACATTCAATCGATTTGATTGTGACAGCCGGCGATGAAATGGCAAGGCAGCATGCACCCTAAAATTGTGTTTATAGTTTGCTACAAATCTCCATCAGAAACAAACTGAGATTTGGAAAAGTGAAGTACGTTACGTTACTTTATAAGCGCTTCACTCAAATGGTAGTCGCGCTGAGACAACTAGCTAAGAATCGCGGCGCGTTGGGAACGAAATGAGCCTAACGCTTCATACCACCCTTACCTAGACTGCATTATAGACTCAAAAAAGATTCATGACATATGACACATGGTGTGGTGCAGAAGGAACGAAATAGTCGCCTCGCGGCGAGAGACGCCGCGCGCGAAGGATTGTAGCACAACGCAGCAGCAGGTAAGAAATACAGGAACACTAGAATTAATAGTAGAATCATGCCAAAAGTAATAATCGCATAGCGTTTGAGCTGTATGAAGAACGCTAGAACTGTTATGACGAGGCAAATGGCCCGCGACAGCCGCGAGCGCCGGATCGATTACACAAAACTGTTCCTACTGCCCGCCTCCCTGTCCTAGTACCTCAGGCGGTGACTATGAAGTAGAAGAAGGACATATCAATCAAATAGCAGGTTACAGCCGAGAAATATAGAGTTTGCCCACCTCACACGGTGCCGGACAGACCCTTCCTGTAAACTCTGGGAAATTGTTGGTTTGTAGTAGTTGCTCAAGCGCTTGGCGCCAGTTCTTCTTGAACACGTAGTCATTCCATTTGGGGATTATATTACCTAGTGGACAGCCAGTGTGACCTTGGCAGAACGGCACACCACAGTCCATGCATCTGGAAATTAGCATTTTCAAAGAGGAATTTTGAGCGGAATCAGACACACTCAGAAAATTTGAACCTTGCAGCTTGCTGTCGGATGTTACTTCGAACAGCTCCAAAGTCATACACCTCGTCCCAGTCCTTGAGACGTTCCTCAGGGTTACGATACATCTTCTTCTGGCGATTATACTTCACGAACCCACTAAATTGAGATATTATGTACGACTGAGAGTGAATACAACAGCAAAAGTTTCTCAAGAAAAGTTAATGCTAGCCGATAGTAAAAGTATTTAGCTAGTAGTAAGACTGAAATCGAAATAGCGGATTACAAAGCTGTCAAGGCTAGGTTGCACTAAACAAATAATTAAATACAGGGAGACAGGGTTAGTCTCAGTCTATTTTTTATTAGTTCGAGTACTAGCCCATATAATCTGCCCATGAAAGGTGTACTGGAGCTCATCGAAGTCTGTCCCTAATATGAAGATCGCCCCTGATACTCAACTGAATTTGAAAATCTACAGCGCATGTGGTCATGGCGCAGTGGGCAGTGGGCAAATTTTACTTATGATGCTATTTCACTCCTGCATACCCATGGACAAAGAAGCGTTCGCGACCGTAGCCACAAAACGCAGCAAAGGCGGTCTTCTCAGGACCACCTGGGACTGCCGCGCACATAACTCAGTTTAGTCATGGTGACCTATTGATAACGCCTGTTGACCCATAGTTATGCGACTGGTATTCAGCCTCGAATACAATAATCTTGGAAATAAAGCAAAAAAACGAAATACGCACAACTTCATCAACTGGCAAGTTTTCTACAAAAAGCAGTACTCTTGATCTTTGGAAGCACTTAAGCCTTACCGAAGCTTATCGAGTGGTTCGTCGTTCTTTTGCAGATGAGGGGGAACGATAATGTTCTCTATATCCACACTCTTTTTAACATCACGAAGGAAGTCGTTGTCTTGCATGAGCTGAAATCATTTTTCGATAATCTATAATCCCAAGCGATACAGTCTTGTAATGTATGCGCCCCTTCTCGGATTTCTGCTACTCCCAGAAGATTTTTGACAAATGGCTTCAATCGAACGAATCGTACCTGCTCGTCATCCGACAACAGCTCTTCATCATTGTCGGACTTTGTCTCATCTTCTTCAATCTCCTCATTAGCATCTTGCAAATCTTCTTCATCTTCAAACCCAGCAATATCCTGTGGTCGAGGGTTTTTCGAGGACCTACGTTTGCGTTGGGCAACCTGAATGGGTACAGTGGCATGCAGGGGGCCGATACATCACAACACATCATGCTTCACTACAGGTCAGTGAGATACTAGACCGTCACGTTTGTGCACTGCACACAGCATACCATTACTTTTTACTCAACAACTCTACAAACACCACTACTTTGATCTACGTTTACTGTTATACACAGTATACTCTGCACCACCTTGGGCACTTCGAGTCGTACGTTCGATGCATCAGCACGCTGCTAAAAATCTCCTCTATTAAACACACACAAAATGGAAAATATTAGTTGTTAGGGATACGGTAATGCAATAATTTGTGCACTTACAGAAAGTTTCTTTTTGGCCAAAAGTTTCTTCTTATGTATAAGCGTCGGAGCAATTTGCATATCCATCGATAGAGCACGTTCACGGGGCCGTCCAGGTTTGTCATTTTCATCCTGAAAAATCATTTTTACTGATGCAAATAGTATTCTGATGGCTGTTGTAGAGCAGCCTCATAGGCCATAGAACCCACATTTACCTCAGCTGCCTTTTCTGCTTCGAGACGTTCCTTTTCTGCTTCCTGCTCTTGTAGAACACGCTTGTAGTCTTTCGGGAACACCTGGAAGAAACCCACGCTTTCATCAATTTCCAAAAGAGTTGGGAACAAAGTTCATTGATGTCACAAGGGCGATTAGAGTCCCAGACAGTCGTTCATTTATTTTCAAGGTGGTTTGTCAAATGCTCAGCTCAGAATGCCCCCCCCCCCCCCCCCCCCCTGCCCTTCCCTTCTTAATATGCCCACCTTGATAATCTTTGCATGCTCGGCCTGCCAGTTATCCAGAATACGTTGACCAAGTTCCGAACCAGTCAACTCAATGAAACGCTCGATTTTTTCACGAATAAAGATCAGATCCTCCTCAGTTGGATCATCCAAATCCACAGTTGCTGTATTAATTCGATGAACGAATGGGTCACCTCTGAAAGCAGAAGTATACAGCTGTACTGGAAATTGACGCAAAACAAGTCTACTGACTGGTTAAAGAGGAAAGCGATTCCTCCACTCATGGCAGCAGCAAAGTTTCGTCCAATGGCTCCGAGAATAATTACTCGGCCTCCAGTCATATACTCGCAGGCATGGTCTCCTACTGCCTCGACTACTGCTGTGGAACCGGAATTTCTGACGGCAAACCGCTCTCCGGCTACTCCACGAAGCCAACATTCGCCTGAATCCCAGTAACGGAAATGATTCCTCTGCTCAACAGGTTCGTACCAACAATATTGTGGATTGACGCCAAAAATACAAACCTGAAGTAGCACCGTAGAGCGCCACGTTACCAATGATCGAGTTTTCTTCCGATTTGTACTGGGCACACTTTGGTGGGTAAACGATCACGGTACCACCAGAAAGGCACTAAAACAGAACATTCTAGGGCTTGCAGCAAGAAGAGGAGCAGCAGTTGGAATTCAGGGTCCGAGTTGTAAACAAGGTATCACATATTCATAATGTAAACTGGTTGCTGTGTGACTTACCTTACCAACATAGTCATTCGCGTCACCCTCGAGTTCCACAGTGACACCCTTGGCAAGGAAAGCGCAGAATGACTGGCCAGCCGAGCCTTGGACAGATATTTCGAGCGATCTTGTGCCTTCAAGTCCAGCTTCACCAAAGCGCTTCGAGATCTGCAGGTGAAAACATTTAATAGACGAGAACATTTCTTTAAGACCCTAAAAACAGCCGAAAGTTCGAATGCTAGTTGCTGAACAGAGATGGTACGGGCCAGGTGCATCGGTGATTGGTGGAAACACAGGAACACCAATCAGAGGCATCCATCGCACGCCCTCACACCGGATATTTTGAAGAGGCGATGAAACTGATGGTTGAATAGCTAACAAACCTCGTAACTAATCCTAGTACCAAATGCTCGATCCAAATTCGTTATGGTTCTTCCGGTGACCTTCAAATGCTCGCCCGGACCATCGACTACCCGGGGTAACTCTTTCAGGATCTCTTGTTCAAGCTCACCGAGCTCGATTACCTAAAAAAAAAAACTTTTTGGAAACTGCTGTCCATCATAGTTTTTATTACATACGTCTAGTAAGAGTAGAATAACATTTTTGTTTGTATAAAGTAAACAAAAACATACTTGTTTCACTGTTCCACCTTTGGTAGAAATGTTGGGGAACATATGATGTACATTCTTTAGGATTGAGCCGAATTCAAGAAGAGTCGCCTAGAAAACAATTTTGAAGAGCATGAATATTATTACAATATGGTAGAATAGCAATACATATTTCTTAAATCCGTTACAATAACATGTTACTACTGACAAGAAAGATTGGTATGATTTTTTCTGCAGGAAAGTGCAACAACTTGTTTTCCACAGACCCAAAACCTTGTCTCTTCAAAATGCACCGCCCACCTCACAGACCCTGCCCCCAGAAAATGAGGGTAAGGCCTGAATACTTCTCAACATAATGTTATGATAAAAAAATGCACTTTGTGAGCCGCTCTTTTTATCAGCGCTGCTCCTAAAAAGTCTTAAAATTCATAAATACTTACTCATATTCATAATACGAGTACAGTATTGAAGCGTTATATGCTCTACCTTAATACCTAGGCGCAATATTTTCCAATTCCTTATAGAGTATCATACCCAAATGACGCCACGACCCTACCCTGAGGCTGTGGGACTAAAACGAATGTGTGTGTTCACATACTGCTTAACGCTACCTACCTTTTTGTTCACAGGATTTGGATTTGCATAGAGAAGATCAGTTCGTCCTATGGCGTCGCTAAGTTTGCGGAGACCAAGTCTTGCAAGGAAATACCGTACTTCTTCGGCTACCATGAACATGAAGTTCACGACATGCTCAGGTTTGCCGTCGAATTTCGCACGAAGGATGGGATCCTGAATTTCATTTTCAAGAGAACCGTAGCCCACTCTAACATATTCGGTGAATTCGGCAAATGAATTTTAACCGGCAAGCTTGGGTTGGACTTACTTGGGTAGCAATACCGACTGGGCACGTATTCAAATGGCATTTCCTCATCATCGTACAGCCAAGAACGATCAGTGGCGCAGTAGACATACCGAATTCGTCTGCACCCAACAGAGCCGCTACCATTACATCACGTCCTTAACAGTAAAAGTTTCATGATTCATCAGTCAAAGAATGGTGAGTAGCTTCTGGCTGTAACAATCTGCCTACCAGTTCGGATTTGTCCATCAGCCTGGATAATTACTCGACTCCTGAGATTGTTCATTGTCAGCACCTGATGAGTTTCGGCAACGCCCAGTTCCCATGGTAGACCAGCGTGCTTGATACCGGTCCAGCTTAAAGAATATCGATATGTACCAAGTGATGACTAGTAATTTTCTGGTAGATTTATATCTATTTTGCTCACTCTACATTGAACGCCCAGTAGGTTCAAACCAAGGAACTCGTCGATCTATTTCTACGTCAGATTCACTAGTTGTATTGAGTAATATACCGCAGAAGTGTTCCTCAGCGATGATCTCGGATCCGCCTTCCAAACTTAAAAAGTTTTCCCCCCAAAAAAAAGTTATAACGGTGCTTTCTCACACCTTCTGTTCCGAAGTTAGGACATACATACCTTTAGGACTTTCACCCGGTGAGGAGTAGACTAAAGGTTCGTATTCCTATGAGGGTGATAATGGGCTTATGGTTAGTGCTGCGTGCTTACTAGGATGTCGAGAGACAGGCTTACTTGTTACTCATAAGAATGGCAAGTTGAAAAGGATCCTTTCTATTTCCTTTTTCTTTTTTTCCCATTTGACTTGCCATAAAAATATGTCCATTATCACATCACTTAACGCTGCACAATTGCAATTTGGTTTTTCTGATTTTACACTCCTCCCTTTGCATTCAACTCTGCTTTTTGCTCAAAACTTACCACTTTATAACAAAACCAAAAGAATAGTTGGTCACCAGCTTGGACATAGTTATTAGTGGAGACCCCAGAAGACGGAATGAACGGGTTGATCAAAATCATACAGGAAAGGTTCAACTTATCCGATATTCTTCGACAAGGGCACCTACCCTTATTGTGGAGATACACTCAACCGAATAGTAATACTAGATATGGCATTCGGAAGAGACCCTCAGAAACCAATATTTAGCATAGCACTGATTTTCATACTCAAAAATACAATTGGGTACAAAGTCAATCATCCAATACTTGAACTCACCCCCTCAATTTTCAAAAGCTTGTACTAATATCGCCCAAGGGCTTTCTCTCATGTTCGACAAACTTCACACTTTATGTATTATTAATTTCAGCTCTTGAAAGCATATAAAATTCAGCCGCCCATAGTGAACTACGAGTTCATTCTAAAAAATAGTAAGTTATTCAAGTGTTTTATGTGAATTGCCAATTGATTCCCGTGAAAAAATTGTTGAATTACGTAATGTTATGAAAAATTCACATCCACCCATTTGAATGTGTCCTTACAAATGGAAATCAGGCAGACAAGCCTTTTGTTTGAGGGAATGACTTCAATTGAACATTTTCTTTTTGTTTGACTAAGCATCAGCTTCTCATGGGCTTCTCAAGGCTGATAACCAAGAGATTTGTAGAAACGATTTCGAGGAAGAAATCACGAGTGGGAAAGTCTGAGTTCGAAAGGGCAACGGAAACGAGTCAAGACGGGACGGGTTTCAAAATTGAATCACAGTTGGGTAACACGATGAGCTAACCACGCGGAACTTTTTTTCCGGGTGACGAGTCCCAAGAAGAACAAAGGGAAGGACAGAGGACCCGTACATCCGAAATCAATCCTGAATTGTCGCCTGAATGACCGATAGTCCATCAGTTCACCGCAACTTCAGGGGACTATTTCAGTTGCATCAACTTGCCCCTAACTTAGTGAATGAAAAAGTCTTCCTTAAAACCTTATCTATAGGATCGCCCTTCAAAAGACACCTCAGGAAAGTACTTCTGCCTACACTTCACTGACCCAAGATATAGGAGAGCACTATCGTGATTCTTTTTTGGGTGTGGTGTCTTCTCCCCGAAAATCGCGTCGCGCACCAGACCGCGCGGTACGAAGGGAAAGGTTTGAATTTCAAGTGGGAGGACACGGTGGCCGCCGCTGAACCACTGTCGCTTGCCGTGGGAATTCGGGGAGCGCTCTGTAAATTTGGAAAACAAATTCGAGATCACCACCAAATAATACGTCTATGTTATATTTTGAACTGAAAATGATTGTTTTCAATTATGGATGTCAATAGTAGTGGTAAAGATGTTGTAGTGCCGACTTTTTTAAATGATAGTATATTTAAAATAAGCTATGTATAACTGACCTGGAAGCTCCAGTACCGCCATCATGTCCCGAGATAGTGAGATGATCGGCGTTACCTTTCACAACACCTGATGCGATAATACCAACACCTGCTTCAGAAACAAGTTTCACACTAACACGTGCCTCAGGATTGGCACATTTGAGATCATAGATTAGTTGAGCGAGATCTTCAATGGAATAAATATCATGATGTGGTGGCGGTGAGATCAATCCAACTCCAGGTGTTGATTTACGTGTATCAGCAATATCCTTTGTCACTTTGTGACCAGGCAATTCACCACCTTCACCAGGTTTGGCACCTTAAAAGACAATTTCATTCAAAATCGGCAACGTTACAAAACTAATCTCAATCTCTCGATCGTACAGATACTACTGTATTCTCAGAGGCCAAATGCACCAACTTCTCGGGGTAGGACGTAGTCGCAAAAACTACTCGCTCCTGAACGGCAAGGGGGACGTGCATTACGTGCGCCCGAATACGCGCGCGGCAAGTTTCGCGACGAAGTTCGCGACGATTTGTACGACACCGGCGCCAATTTTCGGGGCAGAAACACGAAGAAGAGTAATTTAGTAGGGTCAGATGATCCTTCTAATCTACTCTACTTCAAAGTTGGGCCCCAATGATAGGCGCTAAAGTCGTTCAAATCGTTCCAAACTTCGCCGCGCAATCTGCCGCGCGCGTACTCGGACACACGTAAGTCCACATACCCGAACGGCAACTGTCGAATCACAATGGTTCGTCAAACAGTCCTACGTAGAGGCAGGGAACACCAAGTCTCGGATAAAGAGTTTCGGTTGCCCGGGAGCTCCCCTTTCTTGAGTAGTAACAACTGGATCACATTCTACCATCGTCTACAGAAGAACGTCACCCATACAACAATTCTCTGACCCAATGTCTTCTAAGTTGTATTACCGCCAAGTGTAATAGCTCATTGACCATTTCTCTCCTTATATCACCTCTCAGTGACAAATGTTCTCCTTTTAGACTGCAGAAGAGACCAGAACCACTGAGGACTTACCTTGTGCCATTTTGATTTGAAGTTCGTCGGCGTTGGCTAAATAAGCTGATGTGACACCAAAGCGTGCAGAAGCCACCTACAACAAAAACCTCATCGACATGACTGAAGTACTGGAACAGGGTTGGAAAGGGTGTAACAAAAAAAATTTCGCCAAAGGTTCCCTCATTCGCCAAACGACCCGAGTGCTGCGGTGTTATTGGTTACCAGTCAACCAAGATAAGACCAAGAGTAAGACCATTAATAAGTGCTGATCTACCTATTTGCTACCTCTTACTAATTCAACTACTATATTACTATGTGATTGTAAGATCACATTCTCACTGACCTGTTTGATAGCCGATCGCAAGTTGTTGTTGGGATCTTGGTTAGTCGCGTAACGCTCTGGTTTCTCACCACCTTCACCTGTATTAGACTTGCCGCCGATGCGATTCATGGCGATGGCAAGCGTAGTATGTGCCTCCCATGAGATTGACCCGAATGACATAGCTCCTGAAGATGGAAATCATTTTGAAGGAAGCCACATAGCGGTTCATTCCCTAACTGTGAAAAGAATGCTAGGATCATATTGATTTTCGCTTTTTTGATCGTTACTCTGATAGAGCGCACATAATGTTTTTTAGAAATTTTTAACAGTACGCTGTTAATTTGGGGGTCCTTGACTTCCAAGTCCTTGAGTTCTCCAAGCGGTCCACACGCTTAGCAGGGCAGTCAGGAAGATGACGGTAGCCGAGGGGCCCCATTGTAGGAGTTTTACACAATATTATACACCCTCACACCATCGCCGCTCTATGGGTAATTGTTGATGGGTAATTAATTTACCCATCAACTTTACACGTAGCTCCCTGGAACATACGACCCTTTTTCGAATTACGAACTACGTAATCCAAAAGTTTCTGAAAAAGGGCATTCGTGGGAGCTGACAGTAACGAGAAGCGGAGTACAACTAAAATCCAAGGCTCATCAAGTAGCATCATTACTATCCTAGTAATTCATGAGCCTCCTACCTCTGAAAAAGACCCCTTCAAAGATATCCTATTCACATTTAGATGTCGCAACGCGGCGGTCGCTCAACTAACGCTCTGGAATACGCCCAGCAGTGTAAACGCCCCCTTGGGCACCTATGGAACCACTCGTTACTGTATTCAATCTAGACATGAATGTAAACTAACCTGTTACAAATCTCTTCACTATCTCACTAGCCGGTTCGACTTGATCCATAGGAATTTCGAGTTTCGAACTGGTTTTAATCTCGAGTTGGCCCCTAAGAGTGCACCATCTCTGGGCGAGATTCGATGCCTGAGAGTATTCATGGAATGTCTTCTTATTGTTGAGGCGAGTAGCTGCCTGAAAGATCCGACTTGTTTTTATCTGAAGAAATTATGATGTGGAAATTACGACCATCAGTGCAAGGCACCGTTCACTTAAGTCATCTAGAACGCAACGCAACCGCGCGCGAGCGCTTATAGAGCAAGCGGTGGGCGGACCTTCCTGAGTGTCGCTCACGACAAAACAGTTTCCTTTTGAGAATATAAAAGAAACCTGTAGCTTGGCAATCGACTCCGGCTCATTGATATGTTTTTCTCCTCCTGCTCTCCAGTGGAATGTTCCAGAAGCGACGAGAACACGTGAATCTCCTGAAGAACAAAAGCCTCCAGAATTACAGATGTTATGCGCTGACACTGACTATATTTATTACAAAATGGGCAAGACATTGGGTTACAAGGACGCTACTACAGTAAGCTTGCAGCCTAAGCTTAGCAACGGGAGATGGTGCGCACACAACGAAGAGCCTTTCTGACGAAAGTATAAAAGCTCGGAGTTTCTGATGAACTGCTGGGAATCATCTGTCCAAAAAAGGGTTTTCAGAGCTTCAATGACCTACTGGACACCTAACTGGAACTGATTGTTGTGCTTTTACAGTAGAGCAACCAGTATGTCCCTCCACCTACATTCATTCCATGCTATGAATTACCACAGCTGCCCTTGTAAGCTCAGACTTTATTACAGGTACCAGTAGGTTGTAAATCGCTTCTAGGCAAATTCATAGCAATCGCAACCAGAACGGCCAATTCCCGAGCTCGCAAAAGGTCCATCAAATTGCCCGTTCCCGTTCAAAGAAATTGAGCAGCTGTCCAGAATGTCTATTACCTAAGTGGACCATTGGAATGCACGCCTATAAGCTCATGGTTACATTTTACCAGTATATTACCAGTGTAAGAAAATTGTATTGGTCGGAGCTAGACCCAGATAAATAGGAAGGAACGCATGGAAACGCAACGCGGGGATTCCAGCCAGGGTATCTTACCTTCCAGAGTCTTGAGTCTAATGCAGAGAAAGCCCTACATAGCACAAAAACGTCTACTCTACTAAACAGTAAGATTTACTGTTTTCTATACATATAACTAGTATTATTGAATTTATGAAGTACTAATAGCTGCTAAAGCCGAATGTGATTACATACGAAATGAACTAGATCAACATGCTAATCAAACACATTCACGTACAACACATATAACTTCACGACTGTCTTACCGTAAACTCCTTTACGACCATTCAGCGTCTCGTCAGCTATAAATACTCAACGCAACGTACAAATCAATGTGACAATACGGTTCGGTATTGATTGGAAAAGAAGAAAGGTGCGCGTAGAAGTTGAAAAGATATCATTCCAAAAGTTACCACGACATGATGGGACTTGGACAGCCACGAAATTTTGAAATGGTATTCCCTTCTGTGGATCACAGTACCAATTTTCGTGTCATGACCACATGCCTCTTTGTGCAAGATCAGCTCTATCTCTTGAAGAGGTGGGACGGAGTGCGTACTGCGTTCTACTGTCCCGGAACCTCGTCCTTACAAACACGTAGAAGGAAAGTTGATAGCTTCAAAAGTCCACCTTGGAAACCAAATTGGAAAATTTCTAAGATCCAGAGATACTCAGAAAGCATCGAAAATTTTGCTTGATATCATCTTTTCTAGAGCTATAGAGCTATATCTATTGGCTGCTGTCAGACCGCAACGATTCATCCGACCGTCCATCCGTTCAACGCGTGCGCGACGGCGGTCGCGTGCGGTTGCGACGGCGGCGCCTGACCATTGTTGACGACATTGGGTGTGGTGCGATTCACGCGTCAATATAATGAGGCCATCGGACAAAACGCGCTAAAACATTATGCCTACCATCATAACGGAAAAAATAAGAACTTATAAGTAGAATAAGTAAAGAAATGACCAACTATGCGTGTTTACAGAAGGATTGCATCTTCTAGGATCAAAAAACTTGAAGGTATTCTTATTTTGAACGTTTGACAAGTAAATTGTTGACCTATGAGGTGAATTCTCAATCTCGAAGGGGCTTTTATGCCATAGTAAATAGATTTGCTCTATTCATGGTGAAGCCGTGGACTACTGCAAATTTATTTCGTCCATCTAACAGAAAGGTACTGAAACGATGCTCAGTGCGCGAAGAGCTCTAATGGGGTCACGCGCGAATCGCGCGCCCCCCGACGACATTAGATCGCGTGCCAGCGCTATCAACACTACTTTAGCGCCGCCGTCGCGCACGCGCTGAACCGACGGACGGTCGTCGAAGTCTGAAAGCGGCCATTCATTGGAAAGATATAACAGAAGTTCTTTGTGTACGAATTGAGTACGATTATCGATTGATGAAGATGGTCTCTGATCTAGAAAGTCGTACATTCAAAAAACATACACGTGATGACCAACTCGGTGTGTCGCTAACCCGTCCTGGGGAAGAAACACCACTCGAAGTGTCAACTTGGGTGCGGGAGTGCACTTTTTTTTCGTTCGCTTCTTGCTCAAACGCTAACAAGCCACACTCACAACATAAAAAAAATAATTGGTTTAGTTAAAATTGGGATGAAAGATCAAGAGTTGAGAACTTGAACTATCACCTATTCAATCTTTTCTATAGGGCATTGTCTCCGACTTCGAAACTTAACAAGCAAGCTTCCCCCTTTCATTTTGTTTTTCAAATGTGACACGACTTCAAAGCATACACAGACACGGGCGTTCTCATTGTAACATCAATTCACCTACACTACACTATCACTTTTTACAATATCTCCGGTTTATAGCAACTATTCGTTCTTTTCATCCCTTATCATTTATTATCAAGAAGAGTGCGGTAATAGAGCCCTGATTCGCATCAATGCCGACGTGGTCTTGGCACGAAAATAGCAGTCCACACAGACGTTGTTCAATTCAGAAATAAATCGTGGCTGGAGGGATTGAACACATACCGCACTTGTAGAAGCCTAATGTAACTTATTAAGACTCTACAACATTGTGGTTATATCGGAATTTCTAGTTTTTGGAAGATCTCGTTCATTTCATCTTAACCTTATATTTTCCTTTTATTCTACTAGAATGAATTACTATTAGACGGGAAGATAAGTCCTGCAACACCTTGGACGAGTTTTTGAATTTCATATTTCCTTATTAAACAAAAGATTCAATCTACATTATAATCACCATTATTATCTAGGACACGTGCCCATCTTTCGGGCAGCTTCTCGATCCCTCTCTTCCAAATTCTGGTGGCCGCAGAAAAGTGGTCGATTTCATTTTCGAGCTGACGACGATCATCAAATTTTTTGTCTCTTGGATGGTGCTTCAGCGCTCTGGATAGGTGATGACCAGAAGGCGCTAGCTCCGGTAGTAGGCCGGATACGACGGTACGTGATATCCTAGTTCCATAATTTTTTGACACGCTTCGTTGGCCACATCCGGGCCTGCGGTGTCATGGAGTAAAAAGACTTTGAATTTTTTCGGGAGCAACTCGCGCATTACGTTGGCCAATTTTTGCAAAAGGTTAGCGCAGGCTGTTGCCGTCACTGTAGTGTCACTGTCTAGTAGCTACCAGTAGATCATTCCACCGCAGGCCCACCAGCAACACAACAAAACTTGCTTCTCATGAAGATCTGCTCCAAGCTCCGTAGGTCTCATCGCGCAACCCAGT